AACAACACTGACTGAATCTAGAAAATGTGTAAAAAGTTGGGAACATTTTTATTCTTTCACAGCCTTAGCTACACTATCAAATTTAACTCAAAGAAACAGAAGTATGTACTTGGTTTTTAACTGAAGATCTTGGCTGAACTCAGAGACTAAATGTTTATAAAAGTCCTTAGCAGAGTACCTAGAACATTGTTGTTGTTAAGTGCTGTCAAGTTGATTCCGACCCATAGCGACCCTTTATAGGGTTTCCAAGGAGCAGCTGGTGAGCTTGAACCACCAACCTTGCAGTTCAAACGACTTTGCAGTCTGACGCATTAGCCCACAGCGCCACACCAGGACATGCTACCTTTCATCTTTATGCAGAGGCATACTTCAGAGTTGAAGACTTTTTACCTGATGACCCTCCCTTTTCTATAATAATTTAATGCTTTTAACTTTTTTATATGGTATACTTTTTCAAAGGCGCACTGATGGCACAGTGTTTAAGCACTCAGATATTAACCAAAAGGTTAGCAGTTCAAACCCACCAGGCTTCTCTGTGGAAAAAGATGCGGCAATCTGTTTCTGTTACAATTACAGCCTTAGAAACCCTATAGGGCAGTTCTCTGTCCTACCGGTTAAGAGTTGGAATCAGCTTGATGGCAATGGGTTTGTGATACTACAGGATTATAGGTTGCTTCATTCAAAAAAATATTAAATAAATAAGACCTATGACTTGATAGTTACAAAGAGGCTTAGAGTGAACTACCAAAAACAAAGCCTTTTAGAATAAACCTGATCAGAAACAGGCACCCTCAAGTCCCAATTCAGCCTCCTGATGAAATCCCTGAAGAGTCTGGAATTACTTACCATCTGGGCCTTGGGCTAAGTATTCCAGGTAGAACAGTAAGAACTTAGAAGACTCACTCGACTGCTATTTTCCTTATTTGTACATGAAAGAGCTGAACTCTATGATCACTTATGGTACTGTGGTGTAGGGCTCTCCTGTGCCTATCATAGTATAAAAAGGAGTGCTGTGGGGTTAATAAACTACTATAGCTCTGGTAGCGTAGTTGTTACGAATCGGGCTGTGAACCACAAGGTCAGCAGTTCAAAACTACCAGCTGTTATGCAGGAGAAAGGTAAGGCTTTCTGCTCCTGTAAAGATTTACAGCCTAGGAAACCCTGTACAGGGTCACTATGAGTCGGAACACGGCACTTTTTTTATAGGTCCCTTTTGCTTTTCAGAAATCAATAAAGAAATATAAAACAATATTTTTTCATCTGTCAGTTGATCTTTATTTCTACTAAATTAACCCTTTTATTTTCTGTTCATACACACACACACAAAGTCCACATTCAGTAATTTTTCACCCTGTATTTTCCTCCAATCGGCACTCATAGAAATATAATAGACTAGGAGGGTTGGTAGAATGAGAATGAGGTGACACACAGGTGAATAAGTACATGCAAAGAAACAATTTTTTTTTAAAAGAGAACTAGTTTTATGAAAATTAATAAGATCAAAAATGCTGATCAATAAGACATTAGCAACAGTATCTTTCTAACTCATAATGATAATAATCCAATCAACCTAAACTCACTACCATCAAGTTACTTCCAACTCATAGAGGACAGAGCCGAACTAAACCACAGAGTTTCCTAGAATGTAATCTTTATGGATGCACACTGCCACATCTTGTTTCAATGGAGCAGCTAGTGGGTTCAAACCAGTGACCTTTCAGTTAGCAACCAAGTGTTTAACTGCTGTCCCAACAGAGATTCTCAAAATGGCAATAAAATGTTGTTGTTGTTAGGTGCCATCGAGTTGGTTCCAACTCATAGTGACCCCGTATAGGGTTTCCAAGGAGTGATTGGTGAGTTTGAACTGCTGACCTTGTGGTTCAGTGCTTATCCTACAGCGCCACACCAGGACTCCAATGATGATAGTTTTTTAAAATTATAGTACAGAGATTCCACATGCATTTTCCAACATGATCCTTACAACTGGACAAAGGTTATTATTACCTGTTAAGAACTAAAAAAAAACCAAACAGATGATAATTCAATTAGATGACTTATCCAAGTCACCCAACCCAGCCAGTGAGTAGGAGACAGAAAACACGGGCTACAGCTGTGACTCCTAGTCCATTGTTCTTTGCAGCCTACCCTCAATGTAGACGTCAGACCACCTCAGGAAGGGATGCTGGGAGTTGCACTGAATCAACTAGAAGCCCCTGAGACCTCCTATGAATACGGACCCTACACTAAGAGGACATTCTCTAACACTTGAACCTAGCTATTTTTCCCTACTGCTCTATTGTCTGGTAGTGCACGGTTAAGCACTTGGCTGTTAACCAAAAGTTTGTTAGTTTGATCCTACTCAGTGTCTCCACTGGAGAGAAACCTAGCAATCTGCTTCTGTAAAAATTACAGCCCAAAGCCCTCTGGGGCAGTTCTACTCTGTCACAAGGGGTCACTACAAGTCGAAGGGAAATTGACTAGACATCTAACGTCAACAACCTCTCTCTTTTCAGACACTTTTCTTTTCTTCAATCAATATTTAAAAGTTTAGCAGTCATATCCAACAAAATATCAAACCTTAAAAATGGTTGTCACTTTGCATTCTCCCAGTCCCCTTTACTCCCCTACCAATCTTCAATTTTATTTCTGTAGGAGGACCAACAAGGACAAGTCCCAGCAATGGTATAGAGCAAAGCAGCTACATTTTTCTTATACAAACTTCTGTAGCTTCTATACCAGATTACCTCTTGTTCATTCCTATTCTTCATTTGTGACTTCTTAAAACTTCATTCTATTAGGATCCACTATCAATACCCACTGAAGCAGCAGTCAAGAAATCAAACAATCTATTTCACTGAGCAAATCAGCTGCACAAGACCTCTTTAAAGTGTTCATGAGCAAAGATATCACATTGAGGACTAAGGTGTGCCTGACCCAAGCCACAGTATTTTCAATAGCCTCATGCATGTAAAAGTTGGACAATGAATAAGGAAGACTGTAGAAGAACTGAGGCATTTGAATTATGGTTTCGGAGAAGTATCATGGACTACCAGAAGAACAAACAAATCTGTGTTTGAGGATATATAGCCATAACGATTCTTAGAAGCCAAGATGGCGAGAATTCATCTCATGCTTTGGACATGTTATCAGAAGGGACTAACCCCTAGAGAAGGACACTATGCTTGGTAAAATAGAGGATTAGTGACAACGAAGACCCTCAAAGAGATGGATTGACACAGTGGCAGCAGCAATGGGCTCAAATATGGTATCAATTGTGAGGGTAGCACAGGACCAGGCAATGTTTCGCTCTGTTGTGTACAGGACTGCTATGAATTGGAAATGACTGGACAGCATCTAACTAGGTCCTCCTGGTATGGCTCTGTTGGATAAGCACTGACTGCTAACTTCAAGACTGGCAATCCAAACCCACCAGCCTCTCCTTGCAAACACTATATAGGGTCCCTATAAGTCAGAACCAACTTGATGGTACTTAATAACAACAACAATTAGGCTTTCCACATAAATTTGAATCTCTCTTATGAGAAGAAAAGAGCCTCTTAAGAGGCTGCTATTAGATTCTAGAGGAGGAGGTCCTCGTGTTTCCCTTTTTCAACATTATTCTCCTCAGGAAGAACGTGAGTAGAATTTAGGCCACAATTCTTCAACTTCTGGTATCTAATAACCCTAAAAACCACATCACATATCTGATGTTTTCTTCTTGAATAAATGGCAGGGTTGTTGAAAACATTAGAATGACTAAGAAATTACTCCAAGAAACCACATTAATTACCTTTCTTGTATCACATCTACACATCCCAACATTCTGATGAAGATAACAAACATCTCTAACTGCCGAGAGCATTGTGGAAAGTCTGTAGTGAAAATAGTCTCCAATAACCTTGTAGTTTCCTTTTCACACCTATGAAAAGCCAGTGTGCTTTTCCATGGTCAGTTATTTCCCCACAAGTAAAATATTTAAGTAACATTTGTCAAAACGTCCTTCTAACCCACAGCCTTGGCATGTTCTCTGAGCAGCTGGACCTTGGCAAAGAAACAGATACCAAGAACTTAACTTCCCCAGTACTTACCCCAATTACTCTAAGGAATGGACTCACTGACCAACAGAACTTCCAACTGGTCAGAGGCTTTCCTATGGTAAGGGAGGTTTTTAACCAGAAAGAACTCTTTAATCTCAGAAAAAGAGCCTAATGGCTCAGAACCTCACAAATAAAGACAACCCAGACCCAGAAGCTACCACCTAAGCGGAGTGAAACAGAGTATTCTAATGATGTCACTTAGGCTCATGAACTATTTCCTCTGAGGTGTGGATGACAAGAGTATTTGAGTTTCCACTGGCCTTGAGTATCTATAGGGGGATTATGGTACTTTCTAGCTAACAAGTGGAGTCCTGGTATGACACTATAGGAGAAACACTGAACTTCTAACAGCAAGGTCAGCGTTCAAACCCACCAATCGCTCCTCAAAACCTATACAGGGTCGCTGTGAGTTGGAACCAACTTGAAGGTACTTTACAACAATAAGCTATTAAGTATGGTAGCCAAGTGAACCATCATTTGAGCTAAGTCAAGAATACAATGCAGACTGTAGGAGAATGATAATATGCTAGTTTAATAAGTTACAAAAAAAATCAAAAGCTATAGAACAAATCATTTCATACAATAAACACAGATTCTAAACCAAAACCAAACCTGCTGCTATCAAGTTAATTCTGACTCATCACAACCCTCTAGGACAGAGTAGAACTGGTACTGTACAACTTTACAGAAGCAGACTGCCATATCTTTCTCCCATGGAGCAGCTAGTAGGTTTGAACCGCTGACCATGTGGTTTGCAGTCCAGTGTTTACCCTATGGCACCACACGGGGAGTCCAAACACAGATTAGCAATGATCTATTATACTTGAAGCTCACAGTGAAGCACTCCTTACTCATACAATTTAATGAGATTCCTAGTCCTCTGCATTCCACCAGAAACCTTACCTGCAAGCAGGTGAACAGAGTTGAAGCTCTTCTCCAGTTTACCCAGAAGTACAGTGAGAAAACAGTCTGAAGATAGAGAGGCAACATCTTGGGAGCTTTGGTCATAAACGACAACCTTCTGGCTATAATCCACCTGAAATGCAAATGTGAGAGTGTTAGGAAGAAATGAAAGTAAGAGAAATAATACCATAAACTACCAGTTGAGTTGGACCACTCATTTACTGGCGGTGAAGCAAAATGAGTGCTTTCTGTTGTCAGTTAAGAATCTCAGTAAGAATGACGTAAATCTAACATACACCATTACTTAGATGCTTGTAAAAAATCAACTTTCAAAGGACAAAGTAGATGCTATTTTAACCATGTGGACATGGTTAAAAACTCCTTGGTTTTAAATTCTTATAATATAAACTGGTAAAAGCCCACAAATCAAAATAATATGCAGGATAAACATAGTGAACCTTGAATCAAAACATCTTAAAAAAAATGTTTGCTATATAACTAAGAAATCCATTTTATAATAAAATTAACACATAAGCTCATTTTTATTCAAAGAAAAGGCCGTTATCTATCAAAGGTGACATTTGGTGTTCTAAGAATAACTTCCCATGAAGTCTTGACTTCCCATGAAGTCATGACACCTGACCTTTCCACCCATAAAAAGCACCTCGATTATAACTAATTCCTACTAGCAGTTCGAGACTACATGCGGTTCCACGGAAGAAAGATGAGGTGTTCTGCTCCCGTAAAAATTTACAGCCTCGGAAACCCTGTGCAGGGTCACTATGAAAGTGGGAATAGATTCAACGGTACTTAACAACAACTTGCTTTGTAATGTACTTGAAAAGAATTAAGTTCCTTAAGTAAATTTGTATATAATACAAAATTATGTTTAAATGAAAACAATTTTAGCAAGCCATTACCAGGAAAACAGTACTTATCCAAACTAAAACAAGTTAACCTTTCTGTATAGTTTAGTATTTAGAAAGCAATCGAAAATTTAGAAAGCAACTGAAACTTCCTCAAATTACTTTCTCTCATCAAAAATAAGATTTCATTTAAAATTAGTTAGCATTCAGTGTGCCCATTTACTTACAAAGAAAGAAAGAAAGCATTTACCTTCTGCTTTGCTGAATGCTGGATGAGTTCTGTAATCAACACTTTGTCTTGTTGCAACCTTCGCTTCATAAGCTTGGAGCAGTTGATATTAATGGCTTCCAAAATGTGGGATGTATTGTATTCCACAAAAGGCCGGCTATCAATAAGCAGCACTTTTTCTGTTCCACTTTCCAGCAGAGCCACCAACCTCTCAGTAACAATTTGAGTTCCAATCATCTCATGGGCCATGACAACAATAAGTCCTCTTTTCCCACCTCCTTCTTTAATTTGCCACGATGATGTAATGGTGGTGTGCTCAAAGGCTCAGCCACTCCATTGTACTAAAAATGTCTGAGGTCAGGCTGGTAGCGACTGGCAAAAGGAGAGTTAAATCCATTTCAGCAAAAGCACTCCAAGTGAATGTCTCTTTCTCTTTCCTGTTGATGTGCTCTTGCAAAGGACTCCTTCCACAAAGCAGCCCCTCACATTTGATTCATAAAGAGATGACTGGAATAACCATTCCACAACAAAAGATGCTTTGGGGCAGCCACTGCATTACATCATTCTTTACCTTTGCTCCCTCACTCCAACAGCTTTACACTGGACTGAAAGCCTACAAGAAGAGAGAAAGACAGAAAACAAAACATGGGGTCAAAGAAAGAAGAAAGCCCATCAGATTAGAAAGCGTGTATAAGTCATAATATTTACTCCTTAATTTAATTCCATACTTGATGCACTCTTTCATTTGAACAAACAAAATCGACAAATAGGTATAACTTCAGAAAAATGTGCTTGCAATAATTCAATCCACATCAAAATGCAAAAACCCAAAGACAACGAAATAAGGCATATTCATGAATTAAAATCACCTGGGCTCAGTACTAATTGACTTGCAGAATAAAATTTTAGAGGGCTATCAAAAGTCGCTTGAAGTATTATTATTCCAAATGGTTTTCCTTCATCTTATTTGCTTATTTCTTATAAATCGCATAAAGAGTAGCCTAGGGCCAAGTAAACAATCTGCATTAAAAGAACAAAAATCTTTTCTGAAGGCTTGAAAACTGCTATAGCAGTTCATGCATACAGACTTAAGGTGCAAACAGCAGCCTCTTTATCCTCAAGGAGGAGAGAAGAGGCAAGAAAACAGGAGGTTCTATAAATTTCAGCTTCCTTTTAAGGAAGAAACCAAACCCACTGACATCAAGTGTGCTCCAACCTATAGTGACCCTATATAGAGTTTCTGAGACAGTAAATCTTTATGGGAACAGATAGCCTCATCTTTCTCCTGGTGGGTTTGAACTGCCAACTTTGTAGTTAGTAGTCCAACACTTACCCAACAGCACCACCAGGGCTCCTTTTTTAAGAAAGAAAAGGGGCAGAAATGACTAACAGCAACTCCTGGGACAATTGCAGGAGGCTTCTGCTATGCCCAGCTCCACCCAAAGAGTCTCACAGCTATGATCCTTGCTTAGCCCTCAAATCTGCTCTAGAGTGCATGGATAATCTCACCTTAACCTGGAACTCCAGGTCAGCAACCCAAACATTAAAAAAGAAAAAGATAAACAATTCCCCCCATCAAGTCAACTCTACCCCCACCACGACCCCACCCCAATGAATGTCAGAGTAGAACTGCACTCCACTGTTTTTAATGGCTGATATTTTCGAAGTAGATTGCCACATCTTTCTTTCAAGACAACTCTAGATGAGCTCCAATCTCCAACCTCTCTGTACTAGAACCAATCTCCATGCACTACATGGATCCTCTACAACAAAGACATTAGAGACCAACTGAAACAGACACAGATGAAAATTCTGGAACCCTGAACTTCAAAGGAAATATTTTTAAAAAGCGGACTGAGCGCTTGCTGGGAGAAGCTAAGCAAAGACTGTGAGAGAGGGAGACTGACTGGTGAGCAACCAGCCAGAGGCTGTGTGGCCATCTTGTGAGCAGCTCTGGCAACAGAAGGTGGCCTAGCAAAGCAGATGCACACAGGTGACAGGAAAGGAGGCAGCAACTGTGTCCATATAGACTAGCCACAAGCATATCTTCTGTAGCTCCATCCATTGGGCAAGAGTCAATACCAGCTCCTATGCCACCTGATCAATGACAGCAGCCAACACCAGCCAAATCTAGTCTACACTAAGGTGCATGTATGGCAAATGAAAATGGTGTACATACTTCCATTCTCTAGCTACGCCCACAGGAGACAGTTGGTTGAGAGCCTAAAAGCACATCACTATACAATCATCAATTAAATACAAGTAATGACAGCCTCTCAAAAACAAAATTGTCAACAGACAATTTTAGCTCACATGAAGAAACAAAAGAGAACGGTTCAAATGACTAAGATGCAGAGTCAGAAAACATTTCTGAGGAAGAAAAGGTAATGAAACTAACTGAAAAAGAATTCAAAAGAATGATATTTAGGGTCTTTCACAGGACTGACAGAAATATTGAGGAAAGCAAGGTGGCAAGGTGGTGGTGGTTATATGCCGTGGAGTTAGTTCCAACTCATGGCAACCCTGTCATAGGGTTTCCGAGGCTGTAAATCTTTACAGGAGCAGAAAGACTCATCTTTCTCCTGCAGAACTGCTGGTAGTTTCAAACTGCTGACCGTGAGATTAGCAGCCCATCTCAGAACCACTAAGCAAAATTACGTGGAACAAAAACTCAAGCAGCACCACAAAAAAATACAGCAAAATGACAGTAATCAATTCATACCTATCGATAATTACACAGAATGTAAGTGGCTTAAATGCACCAGTCAAGAGACAGGGAGAGCAGAATGGATAAGAAAATAAGATCCTTCAATTATGCTGTCCACAAGAGACACATCAAAAGCATAAAGACAGTCTAAATGTCCATTAACAGAAGAATGGTTGAACAAACTTTAGAAGATACACACAATGGAATCCTATGCAATGTTGAAGAATAACGTGAATCTGTGAAACACTTCCCAACATGGGTGAACCTGGTGGACATTATGCTTGGAGTGAAACTAGTTAATCACAAAAGGACAAGTATCACATGAGAACAATATTGTAAAAAGTTAAGCTGTTTTCTTAATAAAATAAATGATCTAAGAAGGTAATGGGGGAAGGGATAAAAAAATGATTCACAGGCTAGAGGGCAGACACATGCACATTAACATGAGTGACAGAGCAGGCAATATACAACAATCGACAGGTCAGGAGAGGAAAGATGAAGGTAATTTTCTGCACTGGGTTCATTTTGCTAGTGGGTTTCCCTTTCATTTTCATTTCTAGATGAAGGTAGCGGGAAACACAGGGAGGCATGCAAGAGTTCAAGTGAACAGAGGTAAATGAACTGTTGGTACACTGAGGGGATTGCAACCATTGCAATGAAGCAAAGTGTATGATTTGTTGATTGTAAAACAGATGAACTATTCTGTAAATCTTCACTCAATTCACAATAAAAAGTTAAAAAAAAAAAGTCTCCAACCTTTTACTTAGTACACAGTGACCATTTGGACCACCCAGGGACCCACAGAAACCTTACTACTGGACTCAGTGCTTCTCTATTCTTGTCAAACTCCTGTGATATCATTTCCTAATGAGGCAATCCTAGTAGGAACTTTGTATTCCTAATTTGGATTTCAGCCTGAACATCAATATTCTCAGATTCCTATCACTGCTGACCCACCTCTGCCTATGTGAAATCCTCTACTACATAGAACTTGATGGTCACTTCTATTTGAAGGCAGTGATTTGTACTCTATCTTATCTTCACAGGCTTTACACATAGTCATTTTACACTAATATAATAAATTAAGATTCTAAAATTTTATTAATTGGTTTTAGATCAGAACAGCAGGAATCTCAAAAGCTCACTGGGCCTAGGGTCCTAATCTTATGCTTACAAATGAGAAGCATGGAGAAGGGGCAACAAGAGATACAGCCATTACACACTTGTTGTATCACTTTAGACAAATCATAGCCTGAACCATAATTCCTTCATGTATAAAGTGTGGATGTAATACTAGCCTTGTTTCTGTTTATTATGAGGACAAAATTATCTGAGTTGACTAATGCATATTAAGTTAAAAAGCTAGTACACATTTATGGTGTAGTAAATGATTTACTGAGTCTTTTCTAGCCTCAGTAATTCCTTCCAAACAACTTCTTCTGATGCGTCTGGGTTGAGAGAGTAGGAGAAGATACTGATGGGATGACATGACATGATTCAGTTGTGGATTTTAAGAGTGAACTGTAATTGTAAAACCTTGAAACTCTAACATGAGTGAAAAATGAGTCATCTCAGAAGCAGGAAAGGGGATCTCATTACCACCAAAGAAGAGCTAGACGGGAGATGTGTCCTTTAGACCCAGAGATTCCTGACCACTGAACCTTCTTGACCCAGGGACAGAAAGCTGTGACAGCAGACGAGTGGCAGCGGAGCAGAACCAAGATTCAGAGCCAGAGTGGTGGGCTTCCACACCACGGAGCAAGCAAAGCTGAGTGACTTTGAGCAGGAGGCTTGCTTGCAGAGTAGGGTGCCTTCAGGTACTTAATTGGGGGAGGGGGGGGCCCTAGGTTTGCTGACCCACAAGCCAGAGCAGAGTGCCTTCAGGCTGAGGCTTATGGTGTGCCCTGTGGGCATTTATCAGCAACCCCAGGTTTTTAACAAAGGCCAGGCAGAGAGGTCTACCTGTGAGCATGGCAAAGGAGAGACTGGCCTGACTGCAACCATCCTGAGAATTTCTAACTCCAAATTGTAACCTATTAACTTCCCTAATGGAATCCTGGGGTGGCACTATGGGACAGAGCACTAGATCTCAAGGTTGGTTTGAACTCAAGATCGGCAGCTCAAACTCACCAGCTGCTCCTTGGAAACCCTATACAGGGTCACTATTGAGTCAGAACTGACTCAATGGCATTTAACAGCAGCAACAACCTCCCTAATAAACCTCCTGACTGTAGGCATGGTGTCTTGAGTTCTGTGTGGCCGTTGTAATGAATCATCCAACCCAGCTGTGTACAGTGCTGTGGGAGGGACGGCTGGTACCACATTTTTTCGCAACATCACATAGAGAAAGGGGGAACAGTTCGCTAAAGATGCCAATGGTAAACAGAGCTGGCTTGATCTGGGATCTACCAGACATTACCTAGCAGATAAATAAGTACAGAAGCAGTTCCATCCTCCTATAGTCCAGCTGCTATCCAAAAAGGCAGGAAGCTTGAATCTATCAAGAGGTGCCTGAAAGAAAGGTGTAATGATTTACTTCCTAAAACCAGCCTGTGTAAACCCTAGGGAGCACAGTTCTTTTCTAACACACAAGCGGACTCTGAGTCAAAAT